AGACAGAGAGAGAGAGAGAGAGACAGAGAGAAAGAGAGAGAGAGACAGACAGACAGACAGACAGACAGACAGACAGACAGACAGACAGGGACAGAGACTGGGGGGTGGGAGAGATAAGGCTGTCATGCAACTAAACAGACAAAGTGGATGGAAATAATATATGGATATATAGAAATCTAGGTCTATTATGAAACTTGACAGTGAAGCCTGAGATATTTCTGCTCATTAACGCACTCGTGCATGTCAAGAGCCACTCGTGGTGCATGGTGTCAGGTTTTCACTATTTGTCGGGCAACTCGGTTGTTATATAATTATAATATGTGTCGCGACGCGGTGAGATCAGGCTCTCGTCGAATTTTAGGCAAATGGAGTAAACTGTTAATTATTGGTTTATTTTCTGAGCTTATTTATTTGTCCTGATTTTGATTTGAAAAAATACTTATCTATCTCTAATGGAAGTAGAGATATTTTTTAAGGAAGTAAGGTCTCTTGTGGACATACTCTCAGGAAGTCAGGCATAACAAAGAAAGTGTTGGATTGGAATACACAGAGTAAACGATCAAGGGGAAGACCGTGTAGAGCCTGGAGAAGAATCATATATGAATTGATGTACAGAAACGAGGGAAGACATGGGATAACCTCAAGAGGCTAGCCCAGGATAGAGAGAAGTGGAAAGTGTTTGTCCGTGGCCTATACCCTGGTGCGGGGTAAGAAAGGCAACGATGATGATGATGAAGGTCTCTTGGTGTCAGGGGTAAAAGTAGTGAGAAAATGGCTGCCGTGGAAACGTTTAGTGGCTTCGAAAACCTGAGTGTCCTAAGGAGCTGTACATTTACGTTGTTGTAAGCTTATCTTTCATCAACGTTTTGCTGTGAAAACAACCCCAACCTATTATGTTCTTAAATGGAGATAAAAGGTGTTGGACCAAAACAAATATAAAGATAAAAAAATTATTGAACAACAAGTGGAAAAAAAAGTCTGGGTTTTTATTTATTTATTTCACCATTTTGACGAGCGCCTGAATTCTCCACGACGCGTCATATATCATGTCAATGTGTTGGCGCTATCTCTACTAGCATCTCGCATTCCAATACACACACTTTTGGCCAGTTGCTGTGTTTTGTGTCGTTCTGTCTGTCTGTTTGACTGTCTGTGCCTGTATATATATCTATTTAATAATAACGATAAAAATAATAATTATAATGATAATAATAGAAATAGTA